GAGAAATTTCCAGCAATGCAGCTGACAGCCTCACAATACCTGTAGATGTAGCAGAAACACCTGAGCCAAATGATCATGAAGTCTGGTGAAGAGCCAGACGCAGTGAGGGTTGATGAATGGACCCATGGCAGCCTAGACTAGAGGGACGTCTCCGGCAGTATGCCTTAGGGCTCCATCTGGGCCTGTGTCCTGTCTGACGTGTTTATTGACAACTGACGGAGGTGGCAGGCTCATCAAGTTTGCAGGTGATAGAGCTGGGAGGGGCAGCTAATACTTTGCATGAAAGAGTCAGGATTCAAAAGGATTTCAACAGGCTGGAACCAACAAGATTAAATTTAACAGGGATAAATGTAGAGCCCTGCACTTAGGTTAAAACAAAATCAATGACATAAGTACTGGGTGGGGGGTGGGCCCAGCTTGACAGCAGTTCTTGATGAGAAGACCTGGGGGGGTTTAGTTTACTGCAAGCTCAATATGAGTCAATGGTGTGATGTGACTGCTAAAACCTCTAATATCACGAATTGCATTAACCAAAAAGCAGCTGGCTCAAGGGAGGCACCTACCCCACTGCTGTCTGAGATTATCAGGCCACCTCTGGAATACTGGGTCCAATTCTGAGGTCCTTGTTTTAAGGAGACGGGTGACAAATGAGAGGATATTTTGGGCACGCAGCCAGCATGGCAGTGGCTCTGAATACTACCAGAAACTTTCCAGAAAGTCTATGGGGCTGAGATTCTGGAATGGGGGGGGGGGGTGTATAATCTGGCTCCGCGAAAAGACTTGTATCTGGAGCAGTTTTCTGGGATTTGGAAGGAAATATGGGGGCTGCTTTTCCTCACTTCCTGTGAGTACCCAGAGACATTGGCCTGTGAATCTAATCGCAGGCCTTCCTGAAGTTGGGGGATTAGGAGTTACTCAGAATGGGTCTAGGATGGGGATCAGCGGCGGGAGTGGGTTGAAAACGGAGCCGTGAAGTGGAAAGGAACCTGCAAATTTGGACCTCAAGCAATACCTTTCCAGCACTGCCCCCCACCCCCCTGGGATGTGCAGTCCCCACTTTGGTCACAGCGTGGAGCCCTCGCTCCACGCGGGGATCCTGAGCCAATGGCGGGAGCGGATTGGGCACAAGGCTGCAGCTGCGCTTTCGGCTCTCCCCACTGCAGGGAGCCCGCGGGGCCGCTCTGCTTAGGCGCGGCTGGCCCGGACTCGGTGGCAAGAAGGTGACTGCAGGGTGGAAAACTTGCCTGCAGCACAAGCACACATGGAATCCAGAATTGGCTCCTGTTAGTGCCAGGCATCCCGCCTGAACTGCTACCCTAACGAGGAGCCCACGGTGCAGAGGGCTGCTCCTATAGCAGGAGGTCTCCCGGGCACCAAAGAGTTCCATCTCTCTGTGGGGTCATGGATGGACTAGCCTGAATCCCCGGCCAATGATTGGCTGTATGACTGTCACCAATTTACCTAAGTTCTGTATATCTTGGGTTCCTTAACTGTTCAAGGTAGAATAACACTGCCTAGAATAATAAGTTCGTGGAGTTGTTAGGGCAGTGGTTCTGAACTGTTACAGGAATCACCAGAAGAGTTTGTTGAAAATGCAGATATCTGGCTCCACCACCTGTCATTAAGTAGCTCTGGATAGAGCTCAGGAATCTGTAATTTTAATCAGTTTCCCCAGGTGATTCTGATGTCCGTGGCCCTGTGACCACATTTTGAGAAACACTTAGGACATACGAGGCTACCTAGTATGCATTAGTTCTCTTTTTCAGAGCCCACAGGAGGGACAGTGTGGTGATCACGGTGCTGGGCTGACAAGAGCACACAGGCTTGCTCTCCAGAAGGCTAGCCAAGGTGGTGAGGGAGGAGGATGGGTCGAGATGGGACACAATATTTCAGCTCAAAATGGATGTTTGAGACCTAGGAAGATTAGATGCACCGAAGGCCATACAAGAGTTGAGGTGATGGCACTGGGGATGGGGGACCCTTAGTGGTAGGGCAGTGGGGGGGGTGTCTGCGTTGGAGTGTTGAGTGGAATGTGTTATTGATGGGCACGGAGTCAGAGTGTCCTGGGAGGTGAAGGAGCTGAGACAATGAGGTGGGATACAGTAGTGTTTTCTTGGGGGGCTTCAGATGGAGATTTGTTTTATCATGATGAGGCCAAGAAGTGATGGAGACTGCGATGCTCAGTGATGCCCCATGGGGGCAGCCATGCTTTGTGATTTGTGGTGAGGCCTTGAGCCCAAGCTTCTGACTATTGTCTTTTTTGGAAAAAGAGGGGAAGAGGATGTCCCTTAAGAGCTTCTGGGGGAACTTTCTTACCCCCTTACCTGGAGATATAGGTAAAGTGTGTGTGTGTGTGTGTGTGTGTGTGTGTGTGTGTGTGTGTGTAAGGGGAGTTAGCTTATGCAATGAGATTTTCAAAGGCCCCTTTCTGGATTTCCTGACTTGAGGAGAGGGAGTCCATCTCCAGGGCACACTCCTCTCCCCTACCTCCACACGCAGAATAACATTTGACCTGCCTGGTTTCTCTTGGGGCTCAACTCCCCAAAAGGGGGCACTCTTGTCGGCAGCTCATGAAGTTGTGGATGTTAGATGAAGATGCTAACTGAAAACACTTTCCAGAAATCCTGAAGACCTTCCCAGAGGAACATTCTAGAAAGAATCCTCAAATTCTAAGTCCTTGAACACTGGAGCTGGAAGAGAACTTAGATACCATCCGATGTCGTTGCCCTCAGTTTTATCCTGGGAAATAGACACCTTGTGTGGACACCCCCCTTTCTAAGGTTCTTGGGATCCCAGAGCCTGATATGGGAGACAAGATTCACACATTATCTAGAGAAAAGGGAGAGTCAGTAGTGGGTTGTGGGCTCTGCTGATAAACACCTAGGAGGTCAGAGGTGGGTGAGTGCTTACACAAGAAGGCGCCCAGAGCAGGGCAGCTGGAGCTGCACCTTAAAACGGGTAGGATTTATTTGTAGTTGTTTTTTCCTCTTTTCGACTATGACTCTATGGAAATTGAAGAAAACAAAAAATATTGGGATGAAAGGGTGGGGCATGTTGGTCTGTCCACAGGGGAGCAAAGCTACAGAGGCCTGAATCCATCTGAGATTTGGGGGACAGCACAGAGACTAGCTTGGTTAGGGGGCTGGGACCACTGTTGGGGCAGAGGGAGAGAGGGGACATAGAGGCCTGGCTGCAGCAGGAGGTTGGAAGCCAGAGGAAAGAAACTCAGGGTTGGGCTTATAGTAGGAGCAGTGAGGACTAAGGCTAGAGGAGCAGATGAGAGCACCCAAGGAGACAAGGAGGGAGAGAAGAGAAGAGAAAGGGTTGCAGGGACAGGCATGCCATGCCAGAGAAGCACTTTCCAGATAAGCAGGAGTGGAACCAAGAGCATGGAGGTCATATGGAGCGGGACACAAAAAGGAAGTCACAGGCTCAAACCCTGAAGAGGAGTTTGGTGGAGGAGGGTGGAGGTGAGGACCCAGTGAAGGTCATTAGAGTTGGTGTATAAGAGATCAGCAGAATGAATGGTCGGGGTTAAAGAGTGAGTTGGAGAAGAAATGCGGGCAGCAGCTATCGACAACTGTAGGTTATTCTTTGAGAAATACAGGACTGGAGGAGACAGGCCCCTATTTTGAAAAAGAAGCTGCAGCAAAGCTTTATTAAGGAGAGGAGCAAATCTGGGGACAGAAGAGGAGGAACCATTGGAGAGGAAAACACTGGAGCTGCTAGAAAGAGCGGACACTGGGAAGAGCCAAGTTCTGGAAGGGAAAGGAAGGACAGGGAGCCAGGGCCCCCAGAAGAGATCAAAGCCTCAGGTGGGAAGAAAGGGGTGAAGGAGCGAGGTTCCTGTTGGATCCAGGCTTTGATCTAAAAGTGGGAGTCAAGGTTGAGGTCGGCTCCTGTAAGTCAGGGTGGCCAGGGTAGGGCAGGGCTGGAGGGACACAGAGGAAGGGGTCTAAATCAAAGGAGCGATCTGGACATCTCATCTATTGCCCAGTAGGTCCGGATGCAGTGGAGCTGGGCTGGGGTTTGCCTTGGGCCAGATCTGATGCTCTGCATTCTGGGAGCAGGATGGAGGAAGCAAGCCATGGTGCAACCCGGTTACAACAGTGTCGGGAGCCTAGAAGCCAGGACACCACGAGGGCAGTGAGGGGCCTCACTGGAGGAAAGGAGGGAAGGCTGCCAGAGCGTGGCCTGGGAGGTTTTGATGGAATAGTGTAGGCAGCCATGAGTTTAAATGTGAGGTATTACCATTGTTACTATTGGGTTGTCAGAAAAGTCATGATGCATTTTTGCAACGAAAAAACATAGGAAAAAATATGTCATGACTTTTCCGACAACCCAATATTTTTACATATCTGGGTAGAGGGAAGAACATAAGGAGATGCAGAAAGAGAGCATTGCTTTGTGTCTAACACTGTTCTATGTTAACTAACTTAATCCTCAGAAGGACCCCCCCCCAATGAATTAGGTGTTATTATTATTACCGTGTTACAAATGTGGAAATTAAGGTTCAGAGTGGGGAAGTAACTTGGCCAAGGTCACACAGCCAGTTGGTGGCAGAGTTGGTATTTGAAAGGTTTTTCTGACTCAAAAGCCTGTGCTTTCTGCTGTGCCTTTTTGTCAACTACTTACTAGATCTTGGGCAAGTTACTTGATTTCTCCCTCACTTTTATCATCTGAAAAGTGGGGATAATAGTAATACTATTTCATAGGTTTTTGTGAGGATTAAATGAATTAACACATGTAAAGGACTTAAAACAATGTCTAGTACATAGAAAGTGCTACTTAAGGGGATGCTATTTATTATTGCTATTATTATTGTCATTATTGCCATTACTCTTCACGGCTTCCAGCCAGAAGCTAAGGACTTTGAGGAAAGTGAAAGAAGGTTCTGGAGCATATTGATAATTTAGAGAAGGTCAGATAGTGGGGAAAGGTGAAAGAACAGCATTCAACCAGTGGTTCTCAACCAGGGACATTTTTGTTGTCACAGTGGCCTGGAGAAGCTACTGGTTTTTGATGGGCAGGAGCCGAGACTGTTAACAGTGGTCAGTCACATCCCAGTGGAGAATGTGCAGGAAACACTCAGTGGGAAAGGATGCTCGGGATTTAACTCCTCGGAAGAGTAGCAGTCCCCACGAGATTGGACAGCTTGAGTAAGTAAGTATCCGGCGTTTGGAGGTTTATAAGGGGCTGGGAAGAGTCAGACCCTGTTGGAGGCGAAGCTTCCTGGCTGGAGGGGGTGGAGGGCTGCAAAAGTAGGCTGGGACCAAACCTCAGAAGCCTGAGCTGAGGGCCTGGAAAGGGAGCAGAAGGTACGGAGAGCCGTGAGGTTCTGGACAGGGAGTATGACATATGTAGGAAGCTCACTCATGGAGCCAGGGAAGAAGTTGAGTAGGAGGAGGAGAATCTGGGGACCCATTAGGGGAGTGGGGCCAAAACCCTGGCAGGAAAGGCCCGTGAGCTGCGCTGAGTTTGAGGTTGAAGTGTGCAGATAAGTGGCAATATCGTGGGCCATTTGAAGGAAAACACGGTGTGAAGATGCATGAATGGAGCATGGGCTGGGCCAGATCTAGCAAGCACATGACCTGGGAGGGAATTCTGGGAGAGGTGGGCTGGTTGGGGACTCAAGGTGACCATGGTGGATTTAAGGTGATGATGAGGAGTCTGGGAGGAGATGTCTAATGAGCAGCTGGAAATGCCTGTTGGAAGTCAGGCCTGAAGTACTGATTTGGGAGTCATTAATCCACATCTACCGAGGACCCGTGATGCTCAATGCACATATAAAATAGGACCCTTTGAGGGTCATTCCTATGGGTTTGCTAGTTGAATTTGAAGTCCTGCATGTAGATGAGTTGATCATGGGAAGAGGGCATGGAGGGGGAAGCACTGAAAACCTTCAGGCCGAGCCTGGGCCCTTTCTGCAGATAAGGGAAGAGAAGAGTTGCTGGCAGAGAATTGGTGAGACCAGAGAACTAGGAGAGGGCCGAGCACTTCCGGAAGGACATCACCAGCACGGGGGACTGCAGAGAAGAGGCCTAAAGGCAGGCTGCTTCCAGAGCCAGTGACTTCAGGACAGCGGTAGGGTGGAGGCCAGAGACAGGCAGTGGAGCTGCAGAAGGAAGGAGGCGGTAAGTGAAGATGGCTGTTGGGCTGGAGAAGGTTGGGAGTCCAAGGAGAGAAGGAGGGAGCTGTGGTTCTGAGGGCAGGCTGAAGAGGATGAATGTGAGAGGACACATTGAGGCTGATGGAGGGGAAGGGACAGGAAAGGGGGCTCTTCTCGGAGCTAAAGGGCTCCCAAGGAAGCACCCCACCTTAGCTACAAAGTGGTGGATTTCTCCAGGTTCAATTGTCCAGCCTTTCTCTTGTCCCCCTCCCCTTAACCCCCAGATTAGGCTATTTCCTCTGCCTCAGCCTCAGGGAACACAGAGAAAAACAGATAGCCCTGGCCTGTAACTATCCTGATTTATCTGACTTTCCTACCCTCAGCCTTCCCCTCCCCAGGAGAAAGTTCAGCTCCCATAAGATGACATGACTAGAGTTTTTTCCTGTTTGCCATCCTCAGTGCATGTGGGTTTTTCAGAAAGCTTGTGGACCACCCTGTGCTGATCTCCCCTCTTCCCTCAAGTCTTCTGTTACTCCTATTCAGGCCGGACTTGCCTTTTTTGGCTGTTGCTTTGATCACCGTCCCTTCTGGGAAGTGTTGCCCTGATCCCTCCCCCACTAGCTCCCTGGTCTCTTTGAGTCTGTCACCAGCGTTAGGAATCAGCAGAGGATGTTGAAAACTCCTCTCCTCTAGGAATCCTCCTCCAATTGGGCTCATTCAATTCTTATTGCTCCTTTCCTCATTGCTCCTTTCCTCTGTCGATTCTGGAGATGGGGGGGGGGTCCACTTAGATAACTTTGCAGATAAAAAGCAGCACGTGCTTTGGTATCTCACTGTTTAAGAACCATTTTGCTTCTGTTGCATTTTTCTGTCCTGGAAAAGAGCTAGAGATCACCTAGCCCAGGGATTTCAAAGAATACTTTAAGCTATAGAATCTTCTGTTCGATGTTGAGTACACACACACACACACACACACACACACACACACACACACACACACGTTGCTGTGGTTGAAGCTTGCTCATGTTTGCTCCAGCTCTTGCCCATAACAGATCTGGATGCTCCTGAGAACCCCTATGACTCCACAGAGCACATCTTGATAGTCTGATGCCTGTATTTACAGGTGTGAAAACTGAGGCCCAGAGAGATGAAGGGACTTGCCCAAGTTCACACAGCAAGTGCAAAAACTCAGGATTTCCCCCCACATTTCTCTCAGTTCTAGCATTCTAGGACTTATAAACCTCTAGCTGAGCTGTCGCTCTAGTGTTCTTTTATGTACTTTGTGTTTGTTATTCATTCACTTAACAGATGTTTATTGAGCACCTACTATGCACTGGATACACGGCAGGCTCTCAGGACTAGTAGGTATCAGTTCTGGGCATCAATGGAAACAAAAGCAGACACTGCCCTCATAGGTCTTTCAGTCGAGCAGTGGGGCCAGAAAAACGACATCTGTGAAAAGTGCCATAAATGAGAGATCAAAAGTGTGATAAGGAAGGCTTGTAAGTAGGGTGTCAGTTTGATGGGGCTGCTAGAACCAAAAAGGAAAAAAAAAAAACGTGGCTTATAAACAACAGAAGTTTATTTCTCACATTCTAGAGTCTGGGAAGTCTAATATCAAGGCACTAGTAGATTTGGGGTCCGGTGAGGGCCCTCTTCTTGGTTCACAGACCACCGTCTTCTCACTGTGCTGCCACATGGTAGAAGGGTCCAGGACGTGCTCCTGAGTCCCTTTTATAAGGACGCACATCCCATTCATGAGGTCCCAGCCCTCATGACCACTCACCTTTCAAAGGCCCCACCTCCTAATGCTATCTATCACTTTGAGCATTAGGTTTCAACTTATGGATTTGGGGGGACACAAATATTCAGTCTCTAGCATGGCGGATTTAACTTAGTTAGAAAGCGACCTGGAACCAAGAGCTAAAGGTAAACTCGGAGAACAGGGGAGAGAAAGTTGTTCCCAGCGGTGGAAGGAGCAGCACATGCAAAGCCCTGTGGCAGGAGGGAGCTGAGAGTGGGCCCGTGTGGCTGGAGCCTGGGAAGTGGGGAGCCGTGGTGGGACAGGCAAGCAGGGGCTCTATCCCAGACAGGGCCGCCCAGGCTGTTACCAGTGCTGGGGCTTTATTCTAGGATTAGATTTATGTTTCAAAAAGATGTCTCCAGTTGCAAAAGGTAACTGAATGCCCTGTCCCCAACCCTGTCCCAGCCGGGTTCCTTTCTGTCTGCTTTTCTGACATCAGTCACGTGCTGCTTGGGGCATTCTAAGCAGGGCTGATTTCCACTTTCTGTGGCATATGCATTTCGGCTTTAAGGTATATGTGTACAGTGTGGTGTATGAATGAACGTGTTGTTACTGTATCATTTATTCATTCAGTAAATATTAAGTGACTAAGTGTCACTATGAGCTCAGTAACCGCTTGATTATTGCTACGGTCAACCCACGTGATGGGTGATAGTGTGTGGTGTGTTCTAGTGTGTGGTGTTGGTGCCTTGTGTCATTATGTGTGAGTGCTTGTGTGTGAATGTGTTGACTGTGTGCTCTAAATGATAGCAAGTGTGGGTAACTGTTATCATATGGCTGTCGGTGTGAGTCTGTGAGTGTCATTGTGTGTGACTGTCGTTGTGGGTGTTGTATGTAACTTGTAACAACAGTGGGTGTGGCTCAGGCTGTGGGTGGGAGGTTGGGTGTTGCTTGCCGTGTGAATGAAGGACTGTCAGTGTGTGGCACCCATGCCCTGACCGGGTGAGGCTCCGTTGGTGTGATGTGTGTCTGTCTGTGTGGGGTGTGGGAGACCCCCAGCTCCTGCCGTAAATCCACAGGAGAATGAGCTTTCCCGGGACTGTTGGAGGTGCTCTCCATGGCCCCTGGGATGATTGATGTGGGGAGTGGAGCCTCTGCCTGGCTCAGCCCTGGGATGTGGGGGCTTAGGAGCCTCCCCCTCTGACGGTGGAGGGAAGAAGGGTAATGGGGCAACTGGGCGGGGCAGGTTGGCCAGACGGGGCCAGATTAATAAAGAGGGACCTGGGGGAGGGAAGACCAGGCAGGCGGCTGTGGCAGGAGGCGGCTGAGATGAAAGTGGCCCGACTGGCGGGCAGGCAGGTGGCCTCTCCCCTGCCCTGTCAGCACTTTTTAATGTCCCCTTGGTTAGAATGTGTGGGAGGAGTGGGCCGCGGGAGGCTGGAGCTCACCTTTCCCAGGCCCTGGAGGAGGGGGCTGGGGCAGCCACAAGGCGGGGTTTCTTTTGGGGGGTGGGAAGAATGTGGCTCATAGGTTTAACAGAGAGGAAAGGCCTGGCTCTGGCCCTGTCTCTGTCCACTAAAAAATTGCCTTAGCTCAGTCTGTCCAGGGGAGGAAGGATTAGGAAGCAACTGGAGAAACAGAAAGCCAGAAAGGGAGGTAGAAGGGGATGACTGTGCGTGAGATTGTGTGAGATTGTGTGTACGCCACACACAGGTTATGGTTGGGGGCGTGAATTTGAACCTGTGTAAATAAATGAGCATGAGGCTGAGTGCATGAGACCGTGTGAGTCTGTGTTTGTTCAGCTCTCTGAGTGTGGGAATTGAAATTTTAAAGCCAGGGGCCTGCGTCCTGGCTTGGCCTGTTGCTGGGGTGTGGTTTTGGACAGGTCATTTAACCTCCCCGAGCCTCATGGCTGCATCTCTAAAGTAGGGATAAGGGTATCTGTTTCCCAAGATGATTGTGGGGCTTAAATAGACTGAAATAAATGTTCAACTCTAAAGCTCTCCATGTGCAATATCATCACTAATAATGACACATGGGGCCTGTTAGGTGACTGTGTGATGATGTGGGTATGTCTGTCGGTGTGATGTGTATGGGTGTGTCTGGGGGCCTGGGTGTCTTTGTGTATCAGTCCTAATGGGAGTCTGGGTGAGAGAACATGTATGTTAGTGTGAGCTCTATTTGCAATGAGTTTGTTGTGCAAGTTGAGTGTACAGATGTTAGACGTGTATTTGGTAGTTACAGTGAAATATGTGAAAATATGTGTGGGCCCAAGAGTGGTGAGTGTGTCTTTGTGTGACTGTAAATGTGTGTTTGTCTTTGGGTGTCAGCCTCATTGTGTGCATCTGTTCGCAATAGATGATTTTGTGTCTCGGAGTGTAAGTGAGTTGTCCTGGCATCTGAGATGGACGTGTGCAGCTTGGAGTGTGCACTCGCTGTGGGGCGGCGTGTGTGGGGTTGTGTGTTGTGTGTCCCCATGGCCTGTGTGTGTCTCCGGGTCTGTGTCCTGAAACAAGTGTGGTTGCATGTGCCTTTGTCTCAGTGGTGTGAGTGTGATGGCGGTATGTGGTGCCGTGGTGTGGCTGTGTGTGACTGTGTGTGTGTGACAGTGTGTGTGTGCGCGTGCGTGCGAGTGTGTGTTTGGTGAGCGGCTCTGCTGCCTTAAGCACCTTTCGAATACATTGGCCACAGCTCATTGAATCCTTTAACAATCTGACTCTGCTCTTCCTTCCCCGTTTTTTCTAATTCAGTTCCTCTTATTACAAAAATAAAAAATAAAGCGCTGCCCCTTTCCAGTGGCTGGCCCTGCGGAGCCCCCCGCCTCGGGACCAGCCTCGTTTCACTCCATTTCGGAGAAAACGGGAAGTCGGTAATTTTAAAAAATATTTTCTACTTTATTTGGGGTTTAATGTTCTTACAGAATCCTGCCGCCTCTCTCTGTCCCCCCTCCCCACCTACCCCCAGCCCCACATGCAAGAGGCGTAATGGCCCGTTCAGGATATTAGGGAAGCCAAGAGCACGCCGGTGTGTGTGTGCGTGCGTGTATGTGCGCGCGCGCGTGCACACGCTTGGATAAAAACACACAGGGACACACATAGGAATACACAGCAGCTCAAACGTATACTCAGACATGAATTCAAACACTGTACCCTTATGCTCAAACACCACACAAAGACACAGCCCCGTCCCCAGACACAGTCACACTCTGAAGGGAAACACAAACGTAGGAGCACCATCAGGGGAGGGCCTCCGGAGGCCGGAAGGGAGTCAGACGGGCAGAG